ATTCATCCTAGTATACTATGGACATGTTTAGCTATTTTCAAGCTGCACAGTTGCAGCGATCATACTATACTTAGAGTACGTTTTTGTAAAACAATTCGCTCACCTATATTGGACTTCCATTCAACCCCTCTCCTCATTGAATGATGGGCATTTCAGCGCAGAGTGTTTAGTTGTTCCCTTCATGGCGGAACATTGTGAGCAAGTCGAGCCATCACCATTAGCAAATGCGGGCGATGCTTCGATGCTGCCTCGTAGTCGGTCTACTCTTCAATATCATTTATAGATTCTCACGTCCACGCTTGTGCAGAGTCTTTCCATGCATGCATACTTTCATCTATAAGGCTCTTCTTTTTTTCTTTCGCTGTGAGCTTCCTATCAAGTTGCCTCAAGGTGACCATTACATATTGGGTAGTTGTAACCTTCCTATGACGTACGCTACATCCGGCAACATTGTATGAAAACCGCAGCACGTTTTCAATACCGCTGTTCACATCGGCTTATTTACAATGTCAATGTTACTTGGCCGGCGCAGCCTAGACTCCCCGATTAGTAGCGCGTATTCAATACTCATCTCCGTTTGGGATAGTTCTGCGTACCCAGGTATCGCTCTATCGCATGTGGTGTTAATGTGTACTAAAAAGGGCATCCAGTAGGTCATCTAAATACTTTATCATCGGAGTAGAATGCATTTTGTGCTCATCTGTCCTGAGTGTGGCGGCTTCTCTTCTCTTTTTGCTTTTTAGTTATTTAGGCGGCTTCAGTCTTCTACGGGGAAAGTTTTGTGTTTGTTAGTCACGTTTTAGTGTCACTAGTAAATCTTATGACATTGTCTTGGCTTTACCGTAGCTACTTTGCTACAACAGCAATAGCCGCAACGCACGCATGCTCTCTTGTGTTCCAATCTCGCATTACACATAGTCTTAATATCTTATCCTATAGTATATTCTACAGAAGTGGCCCAAGTATGAACTATCTTGAGACTTCAGCAGGCACGTTTTATATATATTAACACATACTTCTGTTTCGTGGATAATGCTTATCCCATACGAGCTTTTATTTATAATTAGCTTACAATCACCTTCAGATTGGGCGGTATTCGTAAATCTTCCCAACATATCTAGGTTTACTAAGGCACAGTATTTTTTAGTGCCTGCTATATTACACCTGCCAGGCAAGAGTCCTCACCTATAAGATAGCTTCGGCTGCCTTTCATGAAGGCCGTCAGGCCGTATCAGTTTCTCCATGTGTATATAAGCGCGTGTCTACATGTATATACATAAACATATAAAATAGATAGCAAACGCAAATTTATCATTTTAAGGCCGTGCGTAGAAAATGTCGTCTCATATATATATCCTGCCAGTATTGAGCTCCTCCAGACTGGTGTCTTGGGTTTATCAATATTGTAATTGGTCCGGGACTTGTACAATTTTAGATATGAAATCAGTCATCAGGGATCGAATCAATGAAAATCTGAAAAATTCACAACAAATAATTTATGTGGAAAAAGCAGACAGACATATAAAGGGCTTATTAGCTATTAGCCAGGATATCCGAGCGATCGTAGTTGAATTCCGTCGCTTCGGTCAATTTTGAATGGCTACGAAGGAAAAAAACATTTGCGAAATCTAAGAAGACAATACTCGACAGTCGTATCATATAATATGAGCCTCAGAAAATTGGCCATAGACGTGAGCTTATCTTTTGAATCCGTTCGAAAGCATCACAACGATAATATTGTCGAATAATCTTTAACCAAGTGTTCTAGTAGTATAAGCGAACATAGTCCGCGTTAGCAGGTCCGCAGGTATAGCCTCACCTCAATGTTACCAACGCATAGTTAAGCAATTAACAAGCGCCACTATCAAGTCGGCATACTCACGTTTCAATAGTTAGCCCGATAGACGGCACTTCAGTTAAGATTGATGTGTGGTCGCGACTACGTTAAATGCTTGATTGATAAAAGATGCACACATTCCAAGCTGCACCCACTCTCTATCATTCTTGTACTACCCTTCCTTAACAAAGTTAAAGCGTAGAACTTTAGTGCGTCAATTAAAGGCAAAAACAGAATTCCATGTAAAAGCTGAATGTACTCACAACTCAATCAACTGAGTCAAGCAATCGTCGTCATTTCATTGCAAGCTTGTCTGCGACTTGTATCGGAGATAAGAAAAAAAAAAAAAATATTCAAAAAGAATTTTCTTCATTTTGATAATTCAGGATATTATTTGAGCCGACACCGTATACAGTTTACAGATTATTCAGAAAAAGTTGCATATCTTGAAGGGCCTCAAACACAACGGCATTAGAGTAATATACAAGTGAATGTAAGACCTCGAGTAAATTTTTTAATTCTGACTTAGATGCGCACCTTTTTTAATTGGGATAACATATCTCATCAATGAAGCGATCATTCGTGCT